TGAGATGATGAACGTCTCATCGCACATCGTGCACTGCATCGGCCTGTGCAACAGCTTGTGTCTCTCGAAGGCGGGTTCGTCAGCCAGGATCTTCTTGCAGTCTTTGCAGTACAGCGGGTTGTGAATCTTCTTATGCACCTTGAGCATTGTTATGCTTTTGAACTCCTTTCCACACTCGTTGCATTTCTTCACGGTCGGTTCTGCTCGGCAAACGCTTTCCTGATGTTCTTTCAGGGCAGGCAGGGACTCGAAGTGTTGGCTGCAGTTTGAACACCAGACAAATATCTGTTGGAGATCCGTTTCACCTTGATTGGACCCCTTCTTCAGCGAGTAACGTGGGGGTTTGTTGTAGCAGACTGCATAGATCTGGTGTCTTTTGAGTCCGTACAAGTCTTTGTAGCGCCTCTTGCAGTGGACGCAGTAATATGGCCGGTCGACCCTGTGGGACTGGAGATGCTTGTTCAAAGTTTTAATCATATCAAACGTCTTGGAACAGACAGGACACACTTTCAGGCCTTCTTTGGACATCTTCAGAACAGGTACACTCTCTTTTGGAGAATCTTCCGATCCCTCCACGTCCATTTGTTCTGGTCCACCAGTATCACCAGTACACTGAGCATCAGCCTCAGAGAGAAGCCTCTCCAGTTTCATGCACTGCACCTCTCTGATGCCCTCGTGGCCTTTGAGAGTTTGGTGCTTCTTTATTGTGTCTTTATACTTAAAGCCCTTCTCACACGTGAGGCAGACATACGGTCGTTCTTCAGAATGAGATCGCAAATGCTTCTTAATGTCTCTGTTGTTCTTAATGGTCATGCTGCAGATGGGACACACTTTATGTTTAACTGATGCTTCAGTTGACAGTAGCATATATGGAGTCAGCTCTGTATTTAAAGGTGGATTGTTTGGAGGTTTTGCTGATACATCTGCAGTTGTTTCTGGATTTAAGGATTCCTTTTCCTTTTTCTTGGCCATTTTGTCCGCTCTTATTTTGCAGCTCTTCTCATGCGACTTCAAGGCGTAAGGGTTTTTAAACTTCTTTCCACACAAAGAACACTGATGTGGGCGCTCCCCTGAATGAGTCTCTATGTGCCGCTTCAGATCACTCTGCCAGGCGAAATACTTCCCACAGTGCGGACAGGTTTGTTTTGTGGCCGTGGTGGACTCTTTGGACTTCCTGGCTTTCGTGTTAGTGCTGTCACTCGTCTCTCCCTTTTCGTGGACTCGCATGGTGTGTCGTTTCAAGTCGTACTGGTCCCTGAATCGTTTGTCACACTTGGCACAGTTGTGGTTGTAGTCGCGCTTTGTTTTGTGAATCTCCAGGTGCCGCCTCATGCCGGCAGCTCGCGGGAATGTCTTGTTACACACGGGGCACGTTTTACTGTCGTGGTATTTTCTTCGGACTCTTTTAGGCTTCACCAGATCTTTCTTTTCTTTAAAAACTCTTCTTCTCAGTCGGAGCCACCTTGTTTGCTGCGGGGGTTCTACGCCATTATCTGAATCGTTATGTGGTGCTTCCTGCACAGGTTCCTCCATATTTGATTCTCCAGGATGATCAGGTTGAACTGAACTTGAAGCCCCAACATCGTCAACCAGGGTCACAGTTTCCTCCTCCACTTTGACAGTCAAGGTATCGGGCAGCAGCTCCGGGAAAGGCGGCATCTGTATCGGGTCGGAACAGACCACAAGCTGGTCCAACTGAGGAAGAGATAAGGATGACAGGATGGAGGTCCCAGTGGAGTATGGAATGGTCTGAGTTTCATCTGTGTGGAAATAAAAACTGTTCAGCCATTTCTACAAACAAGAATTGGCTTGAATTTGTTGTTTTCTTCAAATTAAACCTCCAGTCAGAACTTTACCAGAAGCTCATTGAAGGATATTTGCGAGTACTACACAGATACCGAGACAATAGAGGAGACTCACCGGAAAAATCAAGACATCCAAGCGTTGTGTGGTACCGCAGAACAGCTGCCAGGTGCTGTGGGTCGGGGACAGAGTGAGCGGACTCCTCCAGGCCAGAAGGCACTGCACTCAGCATGGATGCAGTCTGAACAGTCAGAATGTTGAAATTAAGCTCTGAATTTTGAGATTAAAGTCAAGCATTTTGAGAAAAAGAGTCAGAATTATGAGGATACATTTGGAATTTTGATGTTCAATTGAAAATTTTGAGATTAAAGCCAGTTTTAAAATTTAGGTCTAAATAGTGAGAATAATAATAAAAAGATCAAGAATTTAAAAAACAAATTAAAAAACAGAAATATAAAAATAAAGTTGGAATTTCAAAATCAAGGTGAATTTTGATTAAATTCAATAACTACGGAAAAACAATAGAATTATGAGAATAAATCTGGAATTCTGGAATTAATTTAAATATTTTTTAATTAAAATCAGAATTTTAAAATTCAGATCTTAATTTTGAGATTAAAGCCAGAATAAAAAATAAATAAAAAATCTGAAACAGATTTTGAAATTAATATGATTTTTTTTTTTATATCTGAGATTAATGTCTACATTTTAACTATAAAGTCTGAATCTTTGAGACCAAAGTCAAAGTACTGAGATTAAAGTCTGAACTCTGAGATCAAATTGTGAAATCTGAGATTAAGGTCAACATTTTGAGATTAAAGTCTAAATTTTGAAGTTAGAATCCTGATATCAAATGTGAAATTTCTTATTTTTTTACAAAAATATTGTGTGGAATACACATTACATTTTATGTTAAGAAAGAGCGGAAGTGACTGATGTTCTTCTACCTGGTGAATATCAGGAACTGGAAGAAGTTTCTCCAGTCTGGACACAAAGTCCAACATCAGCATCTGCAGAGCGTTGTCAAAATCAGGTCCAAAATCTGAGGGGAAAACATCCTGCAAGACAATGATCACAGTTCACCTAAAAATGTATTTTACTGCCAACCAAACATCAACGTCCGGTCCAATACCACGCCGTTCCGGACAAACCTGGAAGAACTTCTTCCTCTCCTCAGGGAGCTTTAACAACAGCTCCACCTGATCCACAAAGTTTGTCTCGGGAAAACGTACATCTGCAAAGCAAGGCTGGAAATAAGACACACAGCTTCAGCTTCAGTTAAAGAATCGAGTGAATGATCCAGAAGACATTGTGTCAGGAACCAACCTGTGCTGCCCAGGAGGACATGAGTGTTCTGATCCGATCCAGATGCATCTCGACAGATTCTTTGTCTGTGGACTGCGCCGAACGACACAGTTCAAGAACAAGCTGCAAGAAAAGACGCCATCTCAAACACCTTATGCATGTCACACATCAGCAGTTTTGTACGGTTAATAAATGTCTCTGTTTACTCGAGCTCTGAGTCCAAGAAGGAGCTGGACTTTCTGCTCCGGGTTCAACAGTTCTGGCACGACATCTGTGACTCTGCTGATGAACTCTTCCACCATCCCATAATCCTGAACGTTCCTGCTCTGCACCGTGTGCCACATGGCTCCAGAAACCAAACGGAGGGGAGGAATGAAGAGGCGAAGAGAAGGAAGCTGAAGAGGCGGCTCTACAAATAAAGATTTAAACTTGTTATTTAAACACTGTTTTCAAAAATCTGGCCTTTGTTTTGAGCTGAATTTTAAAGGATATGTTACACTAAAAGTGGAAAGGTTATGTTTTAATATGAGTATATATGAGAACCTCTAGATTTTTCTAGATTTAAAATAATAAATTCATATTATGAAGAGATAAATGTAAAATATCTTTAAAAAAGATTTGTGAATGTTACCTGGAGAATTTTAAAAATCAGACATTAGGTCCCATTTTTTGAGTCACAATTACAGTTTATTAACTTCTTTTTATTGTCATTAAATGCATGATAAGAAGGATCTCCTTCTTATCATGAATATAAGGAATATAAGCACATCTTCCAACAGCATGAGAAAAAAAAAGTCTCAGTAGTCTTAATTAGTGGCCCTGTCTTCCATATGATTATGTTGAGAAAACATTTATTTATTTTTAAGGTTTTGAGTTTATTATTAACACAATTAAGCAACAGTTTAATTATATTTTTTCAGGATTTGTGGCATTTTTTTAGCTCCATATCACTTAGCAGCAAGTCAGGAAATTGCGTTGCTCCGTGATGCGTTCAAAAATGACGTAAAGTCGAGCTATCTAACTGAGCAATAACAACAGCAGTAAAAGTTCTGCAGACTAAAGTGGCATTTAAAGGGGATAACTCTCTTTTATAAGCAAGCTCAAATGTAGCTTTCCAGAGAGCAGTTAACGGCAAAAGGCAGCTGTCAAAGTTAAACCCTTTAGAAGTATTTATTAGTAAATTAAGTTTTAGTAATTTTATTGCTTAGAAGTCAGCTAACTTCTAACATAAACTTCAAGACTAAATTGCGCCCACACCCGCTTCCTGGTGGAGCAACACGGCACCGAAACGCCGTCAACGTCCCGAATTGAGCTACGCCATATTGGAAATGGGGCGCACACACTCCAAAACACGAACTAATAACTCATCAAGAACAACGAGTCCTGACATTCTGGATGGCTTACCGTTTTCTACATGATCCGGGCTTTCCATGTTGTTTTGTAAAGTGAACAATCTAAACAAACAGTCTACCTCGACACTATTTCAGGTCGACGTTCACTCAGACCTGCGGAGCAAACGGAGAGACAGAGAGGAAGGGCGGCGCGGCGGTTTGTACGTATGGCGCATGCGCTGTAGTAGAATCTAGGTCAACGCATTCTGCCGTCCAGCGGTTTGCTTACAGCAGCACAATAATAACACACATCGGTTTTAACGTTAATTTATCAGAGGATTTAATACTTATATTTTTTAATATATATATACTTATATAATATATATCCAGTAGTGCCTTGGAAAAGTACTTTGACAGATTTTAATTGCATTTCTTTGAAATCAACAAATTTTGTCAGAAAAAAGGTTTTATCAAGTTTTTCCATATACTTTTGCTTAGCTTAGCCTACAAATACATATTCCTCTCACAAATACAAGGTAAAAAGACAATTAAGACTTTAGATGTTTTTAAACTGAGGTCTTTATTAGCTGTCCACAATATCATGTCATGGAACGACAGAAACCGTAGCATGAGTGTAACATTTCTCTTTGTTGTTATACTCCACCACATCTCTGCTTCTGACACCAGGTATAATTTATATATTTTTTATATATATATATATATATGTATATATATATAATTTGTACAATGTACATTTTCCCTTTAAAGGAACAGAAGTAGCAAAAGTTTCATCCCCATGTGGATTTAAACTAACCCATGCAAGTTATCACTGTGTCTAGGGAAAATTAGGTATATTACCAGGAACAAATACGCAGGATAATAAATGCTCAGACAAACACAAAGGAGGGTGTTGAGACAAAGCTGCTGTACAGAACACATTCCCACCAACATTAAACAAGAAGAGCCATGCAAACTGACATTTACTCTACAGCTTTGACCCGTTTTGGGCCTGAAATGCCAGAAATGGGACAAGCTAAGCTGTTTTTTTGCTACTGGCGTAACATTAAGTCTAACAGAAACAGATAAGCATAAAATCTTTGACTTTATTTTCATACTTTAGTTGCTGTTGGGTCACAATAAGACTTTAACTCAAGCTCACTGGTAAAATACTCTGATTGTGTGAGGCTACAGTAACACTGGCACAAAAAAGTGCTTGACATCATCATGAACCTTGGTTTGCATCAGGTTGCATTTCACTTTCAAATAAAGCGTTTCTACTAAAATATGTGAATATGTGATGATTCATTTAAGTTACTAACATACAGTAAACACTTTAAAGCATTCAGGGTAAAATAAACAAGAACACACCATGGGTTGCCACAGATATTTAACCAAAAATATATATATTTAAGCAAATTTCAGTCACTCATTTGGCTCACATTTACACCATAGCTAACCTCATGGGAACACAATCTGATGGTAAATATTGCTTCTACTAAATATCTTAAAGCATTATTAAATATATTCTTTTCAAAACTGCTGAATGTAAAATAAAATATATACTGCTATGTATGTAGATAAGAAAATAAAACTGTAGTATAGCATCTATAATCTGTCAATATTTATAGAAGTTCATATATTATGTTAAGATTTCCTTAAAATTTGGGCTAAAATATGGATGTAATTTTGAATGTGCTACAGTAATTATATTTCATAAGAATATAAATAGTAAATATTAAAACTGTTGACAATTGCATTTGGTTTGTTGCTGGAAAAAAATTGCACAATTTCCAAATCTTTGTGTTACATTCATTAAATAGATTTCAGTTGTATATTAAAATACAACCGAATGCATAAAACTTAAAAACATCTGAATGAACTGTCAATATCTGAAAAGAAAAAAAAACTGTTGCTAAATATTGGGGCATTAAGCATTAAGAGAATTACTAAAATAAATAAATATTGACCCTTTTCTCATGACGTCACGCTCCACTCCGCCATGACGGACATTAAAACAACCGATTCGCTCCTGTAAAAAACAATCATATCCATTTTATTGATTCTATTTCATTTTGAAAGTGGTCACTTTATAAGTATGAATAATTAGAAAGATTTAAAAATATCGTATTATGGAAAAAGTACGTGTCTAGCCATTGGTAACCATGGAAACAGTGCCGCACCGTCATGTAGCCTAGCATATATGGAATAAAACTGGTTCGCATCTTCTCTTTTGTATGTCTAACGTTGCTCTGGTGTGAAGAGAAACGCTGTTTAGGACACATTGACATAAATGATGCGGTGTGAATTGAGGTAAACTCGGTAATTTGATCACCAGGGAGGATTTACGGGTCGGTTTCTAAGCTAGCTGCTTGTGAATACCGTCAACAATGAGGCCCAACAAGGCGAGTTACGTTCAGACAAATTAACTCGACTCGAACAAGAAGGCGCCACGAATAAACTGGAAAAAGCAACTTTGTTCAGTTCAATACGGGCATTTCAGGCCCGTCCGTCACTTCCGACGCCCAACATGGCGCCTGGAATGATAGAGTGAAGTTGTTGTAAAGGGTCAATACTGTATGAGACACCACTGTAAACAATGTATTCTTGTTTTTTTTATTACTTTTGTTAAATTCACACTTTGTATTTAGTAGACTTATTTTTTTAAGCTACTAATTATTAATTTCCTGGATGATTTCTTGACTTTTTACACATTCTGTCCTTCAAAATGTTGTAAAGCCCATGCTACACCAGCAGGGGGCGATCATAGCTATGAACTTTATTAAAATCCATTGTGACTCGTGTTTTCTTCAACTTATTTCACCGTTTCCTCTCTTAACTTTTTCAGTTTGTATTTTAATTTTATGAAATCAAAGCAACATAAAATTGACTTAACTGTTGCTGAAGTTAAATGCTGAGAGGCAATGCAGAAACTGGACGTTTCTTAGTCGTTTTACGACACCCAGACTATTCAAATGCAACACAGATTGTTTTGTTTTTTTAAATAAATTTAGCAAAATATTTAGCATGATCTGCAAGGAGCTTTAAGATTTTAGCATTTCTGTCATTATACATTCATGTGAAAATATGATTCCCTCCTATAAGATTCAGTGTTTTTCAAAAAGATTTAAACATTAAAGTATTTGTGTTTAACAATAATATATTTTTATAATAATTTAAACAAACAATAAAATAAAAGACTGTCAAGTTTTTTTTTTTTATAAGGTTTTCACTTTTGAATCTCAGATATATTTAGTCTGGTTACTGTTTAAGTGAGAAAAAAGATCTGTAAAAAAACAAATTAAGACGTCTCAGAATAATTTGTCATCAGATATTTCAAAATAAAACAACTGCTGACATGTCCATGTTGGCCGACAAAGCATGTTCACCCTGAGAGCAGACAGTAAATGTTAAAAGAAGTCTCCAAACCCCCTAAAATGTCACCACACAACAGACAGCAGGTTTGTGTTACTTTTGATATGAAAGTGTAAGGAAGAAACTTTAAGTTTAACTTTATTGATGCTCTCAAAGAGAAACATGAAGATTTAAGTTCGCAAAGAAGACCAGGAAAAATTATTCTTTCACAAGTCGAGTCGAAAATTTCTCTTGATATCTTTTAATTATGAAGACAATGTTGATTTTTAGTTTTTTAAGCGCAACTATATCACTTTGTTTTTCAGAAATCAACATAAATTTGATTAGCCGTCAAAATGCAAACATTTTATTAGCTCCTTGTGACATTTTTTGTCATATAAGAGTTTCATCTTTGGTTTTTCATTTATTTAGTTTCATTATTTTTAGTTTATTTTTGGGATTTCTAGACTTTTTAAAAAGTTGATCTTTATATTTGCCTCCCTTTTACCACCAAACAATGAGAGTAAAATATTACTTTATGTATAATCTCAATTGTATTAGGAAGTTCATTTCAATACTAAACAGCTAAGATAATTTAATACACAGATAGTAGATTTAAAAGCTGCGGACTAGCATGAATCTTGTAATCTATCCTGATAATCTGGGACACTTCAGAGCAAAAATAATTTGAGGGGAAACCCTTCGGCTCAGCTAAAACTAGCATCCCACAGTGTGATGTTGCATAACACACAAGTCATACAGATGGATTAAACATGCAAGTTTGCATAATCCTGACGCACAGCGGGGAGCAGGTTTAGCGAGGCCGGTGTCATCAGCCAGGCGAGTGAGTGTTGGGATTTTACACCATCTTGCAAAAACGATGATTTTCAGAAGATATTTACAGTTTCAGAAACTCTGTCCGTCTCCAGAATCCCGCTCTGACTTGTGGCGAATAAAAAGTTAATAAGCAGCAAATTCTTTACTTCCCGCTCAGAAAAAGTGGTCCATGAAGTAAGCTGTGCATAAAAAAGCAACATGATGGCAGCTCAGTAAAGGAGGTGTCATGCAAAAAGACAAATCATTTCCCGTGTTTTAGGAATCAGTCAGCATAGATTTCGGGTTTATTTGAACCGGCTCGGCGGAAGTTCCTGTGATCAGTTTGGCTTCTGCAACATGGCAGATAAAACACAGTGAAACGTGTCCAGCGAGAACACACTGAAGGACTCAAATGTAAGCAAGTCCACCTAAAAAGTTGCTACGGGTTGTATAGCAGGGGTTTAATTTGCGGCATCCACTTCCAGAAAATGTATCATTTGTATTGAATGAGTAAAACTTCTACTTTAATTTCTGAGTGAAAAAAGTGTAAAACATGTATTTCATGCATGTGTCCCGTATGAAATACAGTTGCGAGTCGGATTATTGTGAATGAGGCGTCTTGATCGAGTCAGGTTTGTTTTTACCCGCAGTGAACAGCCGTCAGGACAGGAGCTCAGGCAAAAAAATAAAGTTCAGTCACAAACGACTACATTAACGTTCAACAAGCAGCAGAATTAAAGGGACATCCTGGCGGTAGATCGTCCAACAGCAGTTTGACGTGGGCGGGACAGTGTTTGCTAAGATGGGCGTTACATCGATGCTGCGGCTGCGGTCACACCACCGAGCCCTTGGAGGTGGAGAGGTGGATGGAGTGGATGCGGGTGGCCAGGGTCTTCTCCAGGTCGTGGAGGATGTCGGAGCAGAGGCCGGGGCTGGACGCGGGGCTCTCGGCGGAGGTGGCGGCGAGCGGCTCGTACAGGAGCTGTTTGAAGGCGTCCAGTTCGATCAGCAGCACCATGTTCTTCAGGAAGTAGCCCTCGATGAACGCCGTTAGCTCCAACGCACCGAGAAACTGCAGAGAGCGAAGATAAAATGATCACATTTTATCACTAATATCATAATAATCTTCTTATCCTTTTTTTTTTTTTTTTTTAAAAACTAGGTATTCTGGGAGTTTAGATTTTAATTCCCTTTTTTGATTTGGTTTATTTTTTTGTTTTTTGCATGACATAAAAATCTGTGGTGAATAACTTGAAGTTGGTGTAAATTTGGAAAAGATCTTATTGTTATATGAATTAGATCATCTTAAATAAGGAACAATTGATCATTAAATCTTCACTGCCTTCAGGAGAAGATACAGGCTAACCGCTAGCCATTACGTTATTTAGATTTTATGACTAAGAAATGTTGAAAACAAAACTCAAATATTTTTATACCCATTTTCTCAATTATGCCTTAAATCAGAGCTCAGCAAAACACATCTGTAATGTTTATTAGCATCCACAGAAGCATGCTAATCTTAGCATTGTATTGTTAACGTGTAAAAAAAAAAACATGTAACAGTTAGCATTAGCATGCTAACCCTAGCAATGACAATACTTATTCAGGGATACAAATTCTAGCAAGAGGTGAATTGCTAACATTAGCATCCAAATGAGCATAATAATGTTAGCAGAGCAATGTTAATGTGCAAAGAGAATGATACCATTACCTTTAGCATGCTAATCTTACCACTCATGACTATGCAAGGGGATAAAATGGGAGACAATAACTGGAAAAGGGTTGAATCGCTAACATTAGCTTGCTTAACATACATTGTTACTGTATGTTGTACTTTGTCCGCTAAGTTTGCAGCACAGCATTGCCTATTTTAACCAATATAGAGGTCAAGCTCTGTATTTTCCTCTTATTCTACAAAATTTGCAGCTGAAATTCAAAATATTCCAATAAAATTATGAATCAAAGTGGGAGAAACTCAACAAATGTCCTCTTTTTGGACCAGCTAGCATTCAGTTTTTTCTTTCTTTTTTTTTCCTTTGTCAAGACAACTGTGAGTTAGAGCCTCTCAGAAATCAGCTGTCATTTGAGGCATTAATAAATAATGGAGGAGATGAGCAGGTGGATTCCCACCTTGGCGTGTTTGTAAAGGTCCACGCAGGTTTCAGTGGTGATGTTCTTGGAGCAGATGATCTCACAGTGTCTCTGAAGGGCCTCTAGTTGGAAGAACTTGGCTGCAGACAGGAGCTGCAGAGAACGGTACATGCAGGATTAAATTAAAAACAAAAACAAACTCAAAGTAATGACTTTGCAAACCCTCTGCATTACCTCCATCACTTCTGTGTTGCGGATGTGCAGAGACTCTGTGCCGCCGCAGTATAGATACTGCATGACCAGCTGCAAGATAAAACACATTTAAAAGTAAATAAAAGGCTCTGGATTTGGGTTTTTTCACATCCCCAAAATACTTTTTTAAACCAATTCTGAAAAGCTGCTGATATGATGCATCTCCTACCAGCTAAGGGAGTGATTGTACTTCACTGGAACAAAACAACAGGATCAGGAAAGCTGAGTTATTTGAAAACATTAAACATTAGAGGCCAATTAAGGACAAGAATGACCAGATCAAGATGTTCAGAGGCAATAGAGTCTCTATGCTGAGTTATCTCCTGTATATATTAAAATATGTATAGATATGCATCTCAGAGGGTGCTTATTATTGGTTATATTGTCTACATGTCAACATATGTGAAAAAAATTCACATGGAAAAAGTAAATGAAAATATCTCATTGCTTTATAAGCCTGGCAGGCCACCAGGCTTTACTTGTGTCCCCACCAGGGGACACAGTGCTTACTTTTTTATTTAAGTGTTTTTAAATTGTTTACATTTTAAGACTTTATGGTTGTGTTCAGGTATTAATCTTGCAATCTTTTAATAACACATAATTATCAAGTGATATTTTCATCCAAACATTTTTTAACTCAAAAACACGACGAACCGCCGGATGAATGACTGACACCTAACCGCCGCGGTCAGCAGGTTTCCTGGGGAAAACCTCCAATCTTACACTCATCTAACTTGCTAAAGTAACTAAAAAAATCTACATGTTGAACTTCTTACGTGGAAAATGTTGTATTTGACGTGGCTGATCTCAATGCATGTGTTTTCTGCTGCTGGTCTGTTCTGCAGCAGAGACTTGAACCTGGATGAAAAACAAAACGAGTCACTTTTTCCATCTTATTGACTAAAATCCAACATATCTGCATTAAAGCCACAGCTTCCCAGTACCTGGCTGACGCTGTAAACAGCAACACCTTGTGTGCATAAAACGGTTTCCCCTCCACCAGGAAGGTGACGTCAGACATCTCCTTATTGTTCAGGAAGTGAGGGTCTGGGAAAAACAAAACGCTTTTATTCAAGAGAACTAATTATAAAGAGCAGCAAACAGCAGAAGATGAAGCTGATTGTTGTAGGTTTTACTCCAAATTAAACAATTACCATTTATTTTGTATTCTAACAATGAATGTCTTTCAACATTTCTCTAAAACCCTCAGTCATGTTTAGCTCCTTCAGTGTTCATTTCTGATGTAAACAGCAGGTGGCGTCGCAACACTGTGCAAGTTTCTTGCTTAACCTCAAGATAAAAAGTTATTATTATTTCCAGCAAGGACGAACTGAATTAAAGTAATAAACAGAAGCACAAAATGGACGACTTTTAGAAATATATTGAAGTTATGTATCGTTTGTTTAGTTAAAACCTAAAAATGATAAATGTACAATTTGAAAGCCTATATGTTACTTTCAGGAATTGGATGAAATGGATATTTGAATATAAAGTATTAAAACATTTACAGATATACATTTAATTTATGAAGCTATTTTTATCTGCTTCATAATCATAAAAAGAGAAATCTCGATGTTACTCACTTCATAATGTGAATCCAACAATATGATGTTTATTTCATTGGAGGTTGTTTATTTGAGTAATGCTATTTGCAGCTAATAATGCTAATTAGCAACTATTAGCTAGTAGCCCAAACGTGTCCATTGTTACGATTATTCCCTGTTTTGTAATAAGATAGATATGCAGATATACAATTAATTTATGCATCATCATTTTTTCTTCTTAAACATATCATTTATATGATAAAATTTAAATGCATAATTTAAATTTATTTTATAAATTTAAATTATGAAAAGTTGTTATTGCATCAACTTTGCGAAGTTGAACATGATTTCCAATTTCTACAGTTCTGCCTATATATAAATTACTAATTAATACTCATATTAATAATTTGCTCTCTGTTATTGATTAATGTCGTTAAAACGCATCAAACTCAAAAATACGAATAATTCGCTATATTAGCTGCAGATCAGATCAACCATGAATCAGCTGTTCACACTCTGACCACCAGGCGGAGAGTTTATGGGACAGAGGGAAGAGGATCGATGCTAATTTGCGCCAATCGTCCACAACAAGTACTAAAGACACAAAAGAGTCAGAAACTCATGGAAATAAATGAAAATGATTCTGTTTTCACAAACTGAAGGCTCACCCAGGCGTGACGTCTGTTTCTTCTTGATCTCTGTCAATTTGGGGATGGGGAAAGGTCCATAGCACTGCGTGAAAATGACCGACAGCTGCTGGCTAATCACTTCATTCTGCAGACACACAGCAGCAGCAGCAGCACCGTTAGGGACAAACACTTTCCACATGCTACAGCTTTAAACCCTTTGGTTTCCCCCTGCTAATCCTGACAAAACATCATGCAAATGAGGAAGCTAATAGATTCAGTTTGTATTCCCAGCCTGTCTTGTGTCTGCAGTCTGAACAAGCGGTTTGCTGCTGTGAAGGAAAGCCCCCGGCGACCTTGCTGGTTCGCAGGATCTGGAACATGAGCGGCAGGCCGTGTGTGATCAGCTCCTCCGTGTACTCGTCCTCCTGGATGCAGCTGAAGTCTTTGAGCAGCCCCTGGATCAGCGGCCGGCGGTTCTGCATGAAGCAGGTGCGCAGGGACTCGAGCCAGGTGTGCAGCGTCCAAGGAACGCCTGGGAGAAACACACACACACACACACAACACAAAAAACGTAGAGTGAATACAGAGAAATGGAGAAAAACAAGGGAAGAGTCACAGGAGACAGACGGATCATATTTCTCCACTGGATGCCATGAATGTTGGATTAGTGGGAAATCAGAGGTAAAACAAATGGAGCATCTGAGTTGAATTAAAAGTGCTTGTTAATAACAGCTCTAATGCGATTGATGGAAATGAAGTGAGCATAAAACACAGCGAGACAGAAATTAACTGCCTATTCTCTGCCTTCATAACGATGAAGATGGTTTAAAAAGCTTAAAGCTGCAGGTTATGAAAAGAAAATATGGTTTTCACACATCTGTTAGTGTCTGTGTCATGCCAGCGTAACATGAGTGCTGCTATTGCAGTCTGAAGAAATGCACCGCTCCCGGTCAGAAGCAACCAATCACAGCCGGGAGGAGGATCTTAGTGCTGTCAATCAGGCTAGCGTACACTCTGCTCAATGTACTAATGGTGGTAAATCGACTTATCTTGAATATTTAAAATGTCTTCCAGTTGTGATGTTAAACATTCATAAGAATTGAAAGTTTATTGTAAGAACTTCGGTGGACAATTTATCGTCCAGATAAAATTTGTTATCATGACAGACCTTCGCACACCAAAGTCCCTCCTGTTTGAATCAAAGCCAAAGTTCTGACTAAATGTTGAGGTGAATGCACCGAAAGCTGACGGCAGCTACATTTAAAACACCAGGATGAAGCTCCGTCATCCTGTTCACACCTTTGACCCACTACAGATAAAACGGCTCCTGTTTTACGGTTGGGTGAGCTGCAGAGGGTGGGAACAGGACGGGACAGGACGGGCACAGCATGAGCACATCTGCAGGACAGCTGGAGGCTTGTGTGCCACTGAGGCATGCATTAGTAAATCTGACCTAAGCTGCGGATGTCAATGGTGATGTCCACATGGCCATGCTCTGCGCTATGGTACATGGCCTCTCTCAGGGCCCGCAGTTTGGCCTTTCCTGTTCGCAGCGTCCCGCTGCAGTTAGCCTGCGGTGCCGGCCTCTTCTCCCCGGGATCCGAACCCTCGGCCAGGATCTCCTCCAGGGACAAAACGTCCCCCTTCTCCTTCTCTGAGTGGGACAGAAGCTTCCGGAAAACATTCCTGCACAAGAGGGAGACAAAACGCAGAGTTGCATCATGGGTAAAAATTCAAGAGGATGAACTCTGCCAATTCAACAAGAGTCCTGGAGCTATTTCTCTTGGTAGCCATAAAAATCCTCAGCTGTTTTTATTTAAGTTATATTATATTACACTATACTGACTGATAACCTTATTATTATTATTATTCACTGGGATTATAAAACCATGTTTCAGTTAATTTAAATATAATTTAACCTGAGAAATATTATTTAAACTTGTAGTGGCTGCATAAAATAGAATAGAAAATTAATCTTACCAATCTTACTTGATAAGATTTTGTATTTTTGCAGTGTATTTCACACTCCCTCCTGGTTCCCCTCATTATTTTCTCAGTTTTTTTTTCCATCTGAATTTTTCCTTGGATTTAAGTTTTTGTTCTGCTTTCATCATGTTTTATTTATTTTCTTATTAAACTCCCTTCATTTACTCGACTTTTCTACCATCAAAACACAAAACACGACAGATTTTAGATCCTTAAAAATGACTGCCTTCAAAACTAAATTAAAACTGAACATTATATATAGTTATTAGCCTTAATCTGAAGATAATCTGCATGAGAAGAACCAGCCCTAATTCAGTGGCAGCCTCTCTACAGCGTAACGCAGCGTGATCACCACTCTATAATTGATTGTCTTAATAATGCTGCATTGTGCTGCGCTCCATTTACCCGCCGCCCTGAATGCTAATAGGTTTTATCTTTATCCGTTTCGGCTGCAGTAAAGTGCGGCCCAACACATCGTTATGGAAATGGAGATGTCTCCCGTGAGGAGCAGATTGAACGGATGTGAAGGGATCAATACTGTGGTTATCAGAGACAAAGTTTTAGTTTTGCCAGAACTAATTAAAGCTTCAAACAGTTTAACAGCAAGAAAGATGAAAGGATGTGTTATACTTTATATTGATTTGAAAGTTTTCTGTGGCTGACCGCTCTTTTTTATGATTAAAATTTAAAATTTTAACTGTATTTAATTTAAGGTCCAAGCGCAGAATGTTTCTGTTATTCTGTTGTGAAAAAACACAACAGAAATAGAAGAAGAGCATTGGTTGTTCGGGCTCAGCGCTGCCCCCTGTCAGTCAGGCACGGTACTTTATACTAGCTTTATACTTTTAATATCGGAGCAAAGTGTCAAATAGATTTCAAATTAGTGCTACAGGTGGATTTACGGTGATTGACTCGTTTCACCTGTGCCCGTGCGACGCTGCCAGGCTGAACGAGTTCATGTCTCCCAGCGGAGTGGAGGAGATGCCATTTCGACACATCGTGCCGATCATGGGGTCTGCTCCTCTTTCCAACAGCAAGCTCACCAGCTCAAAGTTCCCTAAAACAGAGAAAACCGTAGATTTATAGATTTAGGAACCGCAACAGTTTACTTCTGCTGTTTCTCAAAGGTCAACAGTTCAAATGTCAGCATGAAAACAAGCCTAATAACTTAAAAATAATTTATCATTTTAATTCACTGTGAAAACACTGAATGTTCCTATGAACTTTGCACTAGTTCAGTCTTTCTCAAACGGTAGTTCGGTGGCACCTAGTGGTCATCAAGGTACTGCAGGTGTGATACATGAAGTTAGCAATTTTTATTTGCAAGGAATTTTGCAATATTTGTGGTTATTTATGACGTTACATCTGACTTTTTGTGGCTATTTGACATCAAGGAAGGCTGAGGCACCAGTGTGATGAAAGTAAGAAATACTGCCCCCTACAGGAGAGAGTTAGCATCACAAAAACAACAATTACAACGATGTTTGCTGGAAATCTGCAATAAACTTACAGTTGTGCTCTAGTATGAAAAAATGCTGGGATCTGTTGACTTTCTGTGAATTTCCACACAGAAATTCACAGAAAACTGGAGGGACTGATTGACCTAATTTATCTTTAGCATCTGGCCACCATGGCGGTGGGCCTGTAATAATAATAACAATAATAATGACACTAATAATAATACAAAAACACATTAAGACCAATTAACTTTAAATTCTGAAAAACATTTACCACTTGAACTGTACAATATCCAATATAAATAAACAGAACAACAAATAAAATGAATAATAAAGTCTCTATAAACAAAATTTTCCTCTTTTGTCATCCAGTTTTTGGTGGGAAGAGTGAAAAAGATAAATAATTCAAATAGAAATGATTGAGTTTTTTTAAATCCATCATGTGATTAAATGATTTATTGAGTTTGACACATGTGGGTTAAATGGTCCTCAGCCTGAAACAGTTTGAAAAACACTGCTCTAGTTTCTAGTGCACACTTTAAATAAGACAAACTAACATAAAAGTAACTTTTATGTAAATAATTCCTTAGTATTGATGTGTCAGACTACAATCTGTGCTGCTTCACCTGCAGCTGCAGCAAGTTGGAGCGGCGTCTCCGTGTAGTTCTCCGCCCCATCCTGCAGGGCGCCCTCCACACTGGTTCTGTTATCCAGCAGCAACTGTGGGAGAAATGGAGGAGGGAAACAAACAGGACAGCAGGGGGAAAACAAGCGAGGGAGACACGGGGTGTTACACTTCGGTTTGGTGAGAGAAAAAGCCTCGGCTACTGGACAGACTCTGAATATGAATCACACTTCCAGCCTCGGCTTCTCGTTTAGTTCTGCTACTGATGTTGAGCTGAGGAGGAAGAATTTCTTTTCCAGCAGACAAAACTCTGATTGTTGTCATAAATATTAATAGTTTAAAGATCCTGCAGGCAACATTGTGCAAAATAACTGTTACTCCAATGAAAGATATCATAAGACTCTGTGTCCCTGCAGCTGTGTATCATCCTGCCTGAGCTGCGCTTTTCAGCTCAGCTTCAAGGGTTCCCTACTTTTTAAATGTTGGGACATAATTTTACATCTGGTTAATGCTCCCTAAAACGATAGCTCAAGTTTTTTCCAGCTGGGGTTTGGTGAAGTAGTTATCAGTAGTCAGTAACTACCCTAACCCCGAAAGATAAATCTGATAAATGTACCCTGGTTCTTTTGAGGAATGTCTACCAGCTTTTTTCAGTCAAATTGGATGGATAACATCTGTGGACATCCTGAGATTCTTTTCTAGTTTAACGTTTGGGGTTTGCATTGCAAAAACACAAAGTCTTAAAGTATTTTTAGTCAAACTTCTTCAAATAAAGTGTTACTGTTTAAGCAATGTACCATGAAGCTGAATACCTTTTATGTAAGATATTGTCTACAGATGATTACTCCGCAGAACCCCGATCAGAGCTAATTAATTCCTCTTCTAAAGCACAGCACAACAGGACCAAGGAAGGAGTAACAAAAGGTCTTCAGGCATCATTACTATCATGATGCGCAATCATTATTAGTATTGTTTAGTACAAAGGTGAGGTCAGGGGTCCAGAGGTTAGAGGTCACAGGTCATTAACGTAACTACCTGCACGACAGGGACGTGTCCGTGCAACACGGCGAACGTGAGTGGCGTCGCCTGGCGCGTTTCGGGGTAAACTGAGGGGTGCTTGTTTACTGTGCTTGGCACCTGGGAAGTCATAGGTGAAGTTCAGGGAGAGAGATAAACAGCCGTTATCACATTGAGAGCCGAGGAGAGACGGGGAAGGAAGCAGTATGCAGGACAGGTGGAAGCAGGAAGAGGGCAAGATGGCGGGGCCAGATTTTCCTCTTGAGTTTTGCAGAAAATCTTGAGCAAGTTTAATCCTTCCTCTCATCTCAAATCCCAGCCCGAAGCATGAGGAGCTACATCTGCCCGGACTCGGTTCTGTGTCGGTGCGGCTCCACCTTTCCGTGGAGTTTTGTTCTCAACAACAAACGAAACCAGAGAGAAGATGTAACGGTGACGACAATAAACGCATGCAGGGCTGGAGGTGACGACTCAGAAGCAAAGCGGAGGCGTCGCTTCGCGGGTTTTTACTGCTGATTAATCATCAAAATGATTTGCAAAAATCACCCAGAGGAAAAACAACTATTTGATGTGATGTCACATTTCATTTGGACTCTGATGCTAAGCAGCAGCGGGACCGTTGGTGTTTTATTGTGTAATGATATGAATTATTAATGTCTTTATAATTACAGGCAGCCGCGACAGAGGAGGAGAAAATCTGAGGCAGCTTCTGTTGTATAAATAATTACAGATATGTATTTATCTATCCATGCAGGAATATGTGTGTTGTGTTCATTTTTGAAAATTCTGATGAGTTTGGACTCCAGATTGTGCAATGGATTTAACAAAAACAGTTTAAATGATTCTGGATCATCGTTAAGGCTTCCTAATTATCTAATTGAAACCAACACATAAAAAAATAAAAAAAATAAAAAAAATAAATCAGTCAGAGCATTGTTACAGGCGAAAACAATTTCACAATAGCAACAAATTAAGGGAGGAAGAGAAGCGCCCACATCTCCAAATTGCACCTATAAGCTAGGAGCTGAAACGCTGACACAGCACAGACAGAAAGATCCACTGAAAAAGGTTTTTTTATCACAGATTGTCGTAGATCTTTTCACGGACGAAGTTCCTCCTGGGCACTACAGTTTCCAAGCTTTGGAGTTTCTGCCACTCAGTTCCTTCAGACTAGCCAGCAGCAATTAGCAAACGTCTTGTTCAACCCCCTTCCTGAAGAGCAAGAGCTTATAAAGAAACAGAATCCCAATTTCAAGGAGATAAATTACGTAAAACTTCTTTGACATTTAATTCAGACAACATTTCTATAACAACTGAAGGTCCCGTAGTTACTTTATTGTGCTTTAAAATGGAACCAAATTAACAACACTGCCCTTTCAAGGAAAATTGTAAATAACCATCCAAACATCTTTAAGCTAATTAGTGATATGTGCTAAACTACAGCAGAAAATAACTGGAACAGAGTTTTGATCTTTCATATGCTAAGTTAAAAACGAAACTGATGGTGAAGGTGCAGAAACCTTTATGAACATTCAAGCTTTCAGTAGAAGCAGCTTTAGTAGGATGATATTCATCAGCAATAAATGAGCAGCATTTATTGCTGATGAATGAGTCTCCTCCACACATTTATTCCAAATTAAGTAATTATTTTCTCAGTAATAAGCTTCTGAATGATTTTTGTTATTTGCTTCTGAGTCAGCACAGGGAAAATGCTAAAGACGCCATCACTACTGTGGGCAGCGGTACACACACAGGAAAAACTGCACAGAAAAAACAAGAACTGCATGATTTATGACAGCAAAGCCGCTATCTTACTGTCTTATTTCAACGTAACAAATACGTGCGGTGAAGTTCATGCGGTACTTTGCAGCGAGTTACACAGAGTGCACCTGGTTGTGTAACAGAGGTTTATTGTTGGTGCACCATAAAGCAAACTGCTGCTTGATAACTGCGGCGTGAAGCGAGATGAAGTGACGGGCAGAGCGGAGGGACTATCAGCGGATTATTATTCTGGATCAGTGGGACGAGAAACCGACAAACGATAATCGTTTGTTATCAGTGCACTTTGTGTAACGAGCAGAGAGCGAGCAGGTGAGACAGAAACAGGCGGGGTGAGGGAGGGGAGAAGGGACAGAGTTCTCACAGAAACAAAAATGAATGAAACATTAAACTGGAACAGAAACATTGTGATGTGTTGGAGAGATTGAACTCTGACCTCGCTGTTGATGTCGGCGCCGGCGTCCAGCAGCATCTGGACCATGGCCTCGTCGCCGCGCACGCAGGCGTACATGAGCGGCGTCATCCCCTGCAAGAAACACAAGATGGCCGCTTCAGAGAGTCATGTTGCTTGTGCTTTACTTAAATGAAATAACCATGTTTTCTTTTCTTGCTCTTAAGGATATTTGAGGTTCTTCGGTAGATTTGAGGCTTTTCATTTCTCTTTTCTGGGTTCAGTGAAGAATATATTCATCGTACACAACTCAGGATGTGAAAACCAGGCAGAGGCAGGAAACCAGGGAAAACCACTTCCTGTCATCACAGGATAACCCTCATCCATCCATCCGTCCGTCCGTCCGTCCATCCATCCATCCATCCATCCATCCATCCATCATCCATCCATCCATCCATCCATCCATCCATGGATGAAGGTATCGGTAATTCTTAGCGGCGAACAGTGGAAGTGAAAACGGCTTTCAGATTTTACTCAGATCCACAAGTCGACCTTCCAGTCCGATGCTTTGGATCATCCACTTTTTGAGAGTTTACTTTTTAACACACAAAATCAGCACATTTCACTGTATTTTATTAGGAGAGTCACTCAGAGTGACATTTGGTAAATTGCATCATAGAACAACACATTTGTGGAGGAACGGAAGCAACAGATGCATGGTTTTTACCTTTTCTAGTAAAATATGAGTCACCTAATGAGTGAACCTCCTGTGAATTTTCCAGTATTTACCTTTATTTAAAAATAAAAATATCAATGGCTGCTCAAAAACACACATTTTAACAACATTTAAAATTTGAGCATTAGCAGCATAAATTAAAATATTTACATTGGAAATTAGTTTCATTCTTGAAAGCAGCAATATATCACTTGTATAAAAAGTAGGTTTTTTATGTTTATTGAAACCGTCTGCATGTTGTGACAGTTTGTTATGAAACAGCTCTTCTGTCTTCTTCAAGTGTTAACTAGAAACAACCAATCAGAATAAGGAGGCGGGCCTTAGTGCTGTCAATCACCCTCCACTCCACTAGCTCTGTGCCATGCTGCAGCTAGCAGAGCCTGTTGTGAACGCTAAGGCCCGTTAGCATGATTTTCCTGTAACATTAAGTTGTTTCTCTGCCATTAGTACATTTAGCAGCGAGTACATGAGGTGATTGACAGCCTCAAGACCCTCCTCCTGACTCCGATTGATTGCTTTTGGTCATTTCTCCTACAGTATTTGACACAACAATGTGATAATTTTAACAAATATTTAAAAAACATTTTTAAAACAGAAGTTACATCCTGCAGCTTTAAAACGGCACGAATAGTTTTTGCGAGACACTGCAAATCGTATTAAATTACAGTTTCATACCCGTGTAATTCTCTCTCAACCACATGAGAGACCAAAGTGCTTAAAGCGCAATAAAGTAAAAGCTGCGGCTCACCTTCGTATCTGAGCTCATCATGGCGGCCATCGGCGGCCATAACGGCCTCCTGATTAAGTAGATCAGTTTTCCATGAAATACTAAAGACTGAATCACCACAGAGGGACACGAGTCTCCGACATAAAGAGCTGCAGCGGGTTACGAGCGGCTCGTAAAAGGCCTCTGTTGAACGTAATGGCTTGAGTCAGACATATGACTGAAGTCGGCTTTACAGAAGCCTGTCATGGCAATCAGTGACATCACTTCGAAGCTTCACAACCAAAAGACGAGTTTATCACTAATTACATTGGCAGATGAAATCATACCCATATTATAAGTATAAACATTGGTGAAATAATAATAAAGCTCTTATTTTGATAACTTAGTTCACTGCAAAAACACAAAATCTTACAAAGTAATTTGGTCTATTCTGGTGAAAATATGTTAGTATGCTTGAAATAGTAGTAAAAGTAACTTTTCTGGAAGATATACATGAGCTTGTTTTAAGTAAATAATTGCTTAATATTCATTAATTCATTAATGTTCATCTTTTCTATGTTTAATTTTAAAAACTGCTAACTGAGAGCCATTGCTTTCTAGTTTGTTTAGGGTTATTTCTTATATTTGATTTAATGTATAGAGGCAGAACTGAACTGATGTTAACCACCAACTTGATTTCCTAATAAATACAGCGAACCTGAATCTGTTGTAAAGTCGACCTACTGGACCTGAAGGACGAACATAATAAATTTAATTGACCACTTAAAATGACCAGTTTCTCTGATTCTATCTCTTTTTTTTAGCTATAATAGTAATATGAACATTGTTCTTTTATTCTATGAAATACTGACATCATGTCTCTGAAAGTTCAAGTTCAAATTTTGTATTTATTTGCAGAAAATGAGAAATGGTTAAAATAATAAAAAAGATGTAACCTCAAATAATTCATACTCAGTTAGAAACAACAGTTTTAACTCAGGAAGAGGTCAGAAATCAGTGTTTGGTTACGTATGTGTGTGTGTGTGTGTGTGTTGAGTCTCTCACCTGTTCGCTCATGCTGTTAATCCCGTCGGGCCCCAGCAGGTTGACGGCCTGCTTGACCAGGTCCGTCCGGCCGCAGTTGAGCATCCTGAAGCCCAGATCCTGCAGGAACTTGGCCTCGGTGGAAGCTGCGTCCAGCTTCCGGGTGGCGCAGAAACAATCTTCAGCTCTGCAGATGGAAGCGGCAGATACATTATCGTGACTAAGTGGGGGCTTACCTCAGAAGTGGATTCGGGGAATCAGTGGGCATTCATCTCCTCAAAGGAGAGAGTGGGAATGATTTATTGCTCAGCTTTTCCCAGCTTAAACCAGAACCGAGTTTATACGCATTGAGCTGTTTACACTCAGAGACGATTCACTCATATTGGAGCGTGAGCTTCTGCCTCCTCCAAGTGAAGCTTCTGCTGCGACTCGTTTTTTTTGTCTGTAATGACTCTTAATTGACGCTGCGAACAGCTGCTGCTGATCTGGTTCTCAACAGGGTCGCAGGGAAACCTCTGCACAATATTATTCTGATTCTACCTGGCAATTAGATGTGGCATTTTGAAAAGAGATGCTAATTGGTAACAAATACCTTCGCCGTTCTGTTTGTTTCATCTCTGAGAATGTTTGAAGTGGGAGGACTGTTAACCCATGACTCTGTGATAAAATCCTTAAAATTATTGACGCTGGATGAGACAAAAGCTCATGCTGATTTTTGATTTTCTGTCTGTGAACTGTAACAGACGTATTTGTAAGAAAATGTTTTTAAAATAGCAACTGCAACTTCGATGAAGCAAAAAAGGCTGCATGTTCAACTAAGGAAATAAAGTAATTACATAATTATCCCTATTTGTGCATTAAAACTTGACCAGCAGGAAAGGTTTATGTTGCCATCTGTATTAGTTGTTTTTACTGCTTTTTAAGATAAAAGGGATTCTGAATAAAAACATGACTTGTTCTTTTTTGCAAAGTTTCACACGATAAATGAAACTATTTTTCTGCTGTTTTGTTTTTATTTAGTAATCAAAGTGAAACTAAAGATTCATTTATACAAATATTTTGTGCTAAAACCAACAGGAAAGCAAATAACCTTGAAAAAAAGAATTTAGTTCACCGATTACATTTTTATAAATCTATACGCTGATGATATTCAGCTGATGCTGCGTTCGCACCAGACGCGATTTGAGAGTCAGGCTCTTCGGGCGTCAATGCCGGGGTTGGAGAATCTGATGTTTCGCCATTTGATGTGGGGAATCAACCAATCAGAGACTCCGCTACGTCTCTCTGGTGCATTTTCCGACATAGGCTCAAAAAATATATATATGGAGGATAAAGTAATCTATGATCGCAGTCACGACTACAGAGACAGAATAGAAGGATCAGTTGGGATGTTGGATAAATTATGACTTTTACTATTTGAAAATATTTCCCAGCATTTGAGCTCTCCACATAAATCCAGCAAAAACGCTGAGTCATGTTAAATAAACATATTTATTTAGACGAAACCTGCAGAAGACTTTGGAAGAGTCTCCTCTCAATGCTCACCTGGACGTGTTCGGTGTGAAGCAGCATAAAATATCTAATCGGTTTTCAACCAAAACCAGTGAGAAATTTGCAGGAACCAAAGCCTGCATGGTGCATTTGGACTTTCTCTTTGCTCGTCGCTCGTTCTCACTTTATTTGCCGCGGCTCACAGTCCACCCCGGGCAGCAGCAGCCGGGCGGCCTGCCTCACGTCGTCGCTGTCGACGGAGAAGCTGCGTCTGTGCTCGGTGTGGGCGACTGCCACCCGGATCCACTCCATCAGCGGAGGCAGAACCAAGAACGGCCTGCAGAGCAGAACAGAGTTCACTAATGATTAGCATCAGTCATTTTACAGTCAGATTACATTAAATTTGACGAGGGTAATGATTTGTTCAGCAGCACTGTGTGAGGAAGTTACACTCGTTATACAATTTCAATGTAAAAATATGAATAATTTACAGCATTAGCTAAAGTCCCAACAGTTAATAGAGACGTTGGTTTCTTTTGAGGCTCAAACTAAACTTATTAAAGATGTCCTTATACATATTAGAGAGGCAGCAACACAAAATCAATACTTGAAATTTATTAGAGATGAAAGAGATCTAGAAGCGGTAACCTCTCTAAGTGCTGTTGTTACCCTCATTTATCACAAAGAGCAACGGCCTGAACTGATAAATGATGTTCGCATTCTTCATAATTTATTGCAGAAGTGTGTTTTTTAGAGTAATCAGTCTAAAAATGAGTCATTCCATCCGATGCAGAATAAACCCAGGCTGCATCAGAAAGGGAAATGTCAGTGAAAAGTCAATTTAAACTATATTTCACCACTTTAAAAATAGCAGTGATGGATGAAAGAAAGCAACAAATTTAAAGTATTTACAGTTTTTATTCTGTAAAAAAAAAAAGAAAAAAAAGAAGGAATCAGTTCTGTATCACCTTTAACCTGTATAACTTTAAGTTCAAATCAAACTTTAAATTCACTTGGTTTGAAAAATTCCCTCGTTTAAAGTTTGACGTCTTCGTTTCATTTAAGCACATTTTTGTACAACCTTCATAATTTTTACTTTTTATTAGTTACTAGAACATGTGAGACATGTTTAAACACTTTTTAAACCCAATTATGAATCATTTACTCACATTTATAATAATAATAATAATAAAACATCTTTATATTCATATGTAACATTATTGCTTGTTAATTCCACTTTGCATAATTTCTGCTTAATTGTAATTCACTGTACATTTTCATGTCAGTATTGAATAAACTTTTGTAAGTATGCAACTTTCTGATTTATCTGACCTTTAGAAACAATTTCCACATTTAGTTACAGATAGTAAAACCCTAAAGTTGTGTAATGTGATGAATTAAATCACATAACTCTAATCTTATCCTTCAAAGAGTTTTCACTATAATTACTTTTAATAATTAAGCATACACTGTCTAGTCTACATTTTAAATCAATGAACACTCTGCAATTCTTTTGCAAATTTAACCTTCTGCTATTGAGCCTCTACTGAATTTTTTCCTTGTATTTAATCACATTTATTCAGGTCCTTGCTGCCCGTCTGCAAGCTTTCAGTCGAATGCTAAACAGAGTTTTGTCTCAGAGGAATAGGAACTCTGCTGACGCGTCGCTCCGCCTTGACGTTCCTCACGTTCCCCAGGGTCGTCTGGATGGAGTTTCAGCGTTTCTCAGCGAGGAAGAAAGCAGGAAAGATGCTGAAATATCTGTCCATCAAGAAGCTGCAGGCTGGCAAGTGTCAGCGCTGACCAGCCCACGCTGCTGGAGCAAATATATAAGTAGAAATGTCGGTTTTTATTGTCAGCCTGTGCTCAACTTATCTGGAAGGTTAAAAGCACAGATGCAAAAATCGCCTCCCTTGCCAGAAGTCAGAATCAGTCCCACTTGGGCCTTTAATAAATCTGAAGCGGTTAGAAATCATTTTATTTCACTCAGTAGTGTTAAAGATGACACTCAGTTAAAAGTTTCAGAACCAGAAATCAACACTTCTGTAAATTTTAACTGAAAAAGATGAGTGGACTTTACTTGACTGTGGTCAAAGTTTAGTTAAAGTCAATTAAACGACGATGTTCAGAACAAGAGGAGTAAATGTTCACCAAACAACTCAGAGATTTTGACTTTAATCTGGAAAATGTCTGAGTTCCAAAAGTCCTAATTTGCTAGAAAAAAAATGGAAATTTTGAGATTAGGTGTAGAAATGTTTGAGAAAGAAAGTTAGAAATTTCAAATTTTTTTTAGCACTAAAAAATGTCCCTTTTTTCATTTAATTCCTGATATTAATCATTTTTTCAAGCAACTTTTTGACTTTTCAATCTACAATTTTTTTTTCCATTTAATTCATGAGTTCAATCTAAAACTATCTGAGTTTTCTCTAGCAATTTTTTGATGTTTGACATTAATAAATTTCCATATATTTTCCAAGATCACTTTAACAGTATTTGAGGCTTTCACAGCATTTTTTTTTTACTTCTGATGTTCATAAATTTACATATTTCTTCCATTTAATTCCTGATATCGATCTACAAACACCAGAGGTTTCTTAGCAGATTTTTGACTTTTCAATCTCAGAAATTTCTGTTTATTTTAGTAAATTTCAAAGATTTTCTAGAAATCTTCTTTTTTCAGTGCATTTTGTGTTGTATAGTCAGCAATGAAGTTGACTTTAAGTTAATAAATTAAGTGGGTGTAACTTATGTTTTCACATAGTCGCAATACATTAAATAAAAACCAAACATTTTAAGTTAAGTCAGCACAGTTTTTCTGTTTTGGCCGACACTGGAAATAAAAAGAGTGTTGGTGCAACCCTGCCGTTAAAGCATCTCACAATGAGCCTGGATTCAAACGTAACTCTGTCCCACCTCTCGGTTTGCAGGGTGACTTTGGACGGCTCCACGTTGGGGTTCTCCCACTCCATCTGTGGGCAGTGCATGAAGTAGCAGAGGGTGTAGAGCGCTTCGGGTTCCCAGTGGACCGTGGAGCTGCTCTTCTGGTGGACCGGCGTCCCGTTGCTCGGGTTCTTGATGTGTAACGGCTGGAGGTGATGCATGGCCCGGGAAACCAAATCACCTGGAAAACATGATAAAGATCAGCCGCATCGATTAAAACTGAGCTGTAAATCGGCGGGTTAGTTGACTTAAGAAGGAAATGCATTCCGCTGACACACAAAACCCGACTATTGATTAAGCTGCCAAATGCCCACGCTGTCTTGAGTGGTAAATTGTTGTTTTAAAAGCCATCCTACACACATAATCTCTGATTTTCTCCTTTGTTCAGTTTCTGTTTCATTTATTCAGGGTCATTTCCCAGCAGAAATATTTCACTTAATTACCAACACAGCTAAAATTGTCCAATTTTGTTTGATTTAAAGTCTCTCTAATTGCCAGAGTGGAGAATTTAGTTAAGTTTGTTAAAGTGGTGATTCAGATGAGGAAAACTTAACTACCGGTAATCCCACTTTCACAGCCCTGCAGGTACAGCTCTGAAAAAATCATCTGAACTTGCAATTCTGAGCGTGTACAAAACAAGATGAATTGAACAGATTAATTTAAATTACTGATGCTTTTTTATCAACTGGAACATCCGGAACAAGTTGATAAAATATATACAACAGGCAAAATTATGAAAAAACATCATTAAAAAAAATCAAGAATCAATGTTTTAACAGATGTTTATTGTTTGAACAGCAAAACATTTGTATTTTAATTAAAGTGGGTTTAAAAATTTAACATGCAAAGATGCAGCCCATTTTTATCCAAGCAGAGCAACATATCTCCAAAAATCACAGGGATTATCATTTAATCCTGAAAGGCAGAGGTGTTAATCTCATTTTCATTTTGGGTCATAAAAAAATCTGAATGTTCTTGTATCAGAATATATTGATAAAACCAATTAAACTGTAAAAATGTCAATAAACGTCTGTTTCTGCAGGATTTTGTGATTGCTTTAGAGTTTTTCTGGATCTAAACTACAGATTCTGTTGCTAATTTAGAAATATTTGTAAGGAGTTTCTACAATATTTGCGCTGATGCATGGCGTTAAATGTGACTTTGTCCAATTTTGAGAGAAATTTGAGGAAAATCAGAAAAAAACTGTGGAGATTTGTTGACTGTGTGAATTTTGCAGATTTGTGAAAAACTGTTAGAATTCACTGATGTAATTAGGGTTAGGATTAGGGCCACGTGAAAAGCTACAGCGGGCCAGATTTGGCCCCCACGCCTCGGGTTTTATACACGTGCAACCACATAGTTTGAATACAGATTTTTTTTTTGTCTGCATGATATTTTGTTCATTGCTTGTAGCATGATCTAAATCAGCTGTGTTTGTGCGCAGCAGGAGTGAAGAATATTTTAAAAAGCGGATTTGAGAGAAGGTGTGAAATTCAACTTTTAAAATTCGCCACATCCACGGCACAGTAGCAGATATTTAGCCCTTACATTCAGGGAGGCGTAATGCTCAGATTTATAGTGTTCCCAGCTGTGGATCGATCAGGTCATTAGTGATGCATTTAAGAATAACGATTAAACGGCTGTAAGAGGGAAAATATTGCAGAGTCAGGCTGCAGGGTTTATTTCACAGATAAATTTATTCCCCTGTTGATGTAATTATTCATTCAGTTTACTGGAACATTGGAGCTTTGTGGTTCTGTAAGGAATATAAACAAGAAGAAGAAAAAATGCATTATTTTGATTGATGAGGGATTTGAAAAATGAAGAAAAAGAATTGTTATCATTCTGTTGAATCTATGGCAATCCATTAAGGACGAAACTCGCATGCAGTGTGCTTAATATTCAAGAAGAAGTGACAGATTTATAACCCTTAAGGAGGCAAAACTTAGAGCTGAAATGTGTATTTTGAAGGTGGAACATCCTGCTATCCGAGGAATAAAAAGAGTAAATAGGAGACTGCAGCTTCGAGAACTGACAACACTCCTCAGGGGTTTGGAAAACACGACTGCTTCTTAAATAAATAATAAAAAAAACCAACAACTAAAATAAGAGACACAACACAAGCAGTAAAAACCGCAGCCGTCCCTTTTAGCTACAACCTGGAGAGAGTCAAAGACGAAAAACAAGATTTCTTTGGCTTCGTTAATTGTTTCTGTGACTTTGATTTTGTCAGCAGGGCGACGTTTGCTCCCGTCTTCTCTGCTGTAATTATCCAAGCAACACTCCTGTGGGGTTCATGCTTCTGCTCATCTGAATTAATCACAGGGGACAGCTTACTGCCTTCGTTTCTCCGAGCCAACTCCCACTTGAGTCGAAAGGACTCAGAACCGGGAAACCTTTCTTCCATTTTTTCTGTAAAAATGCTTAAAAGGAGAAACTATTGCTAACGTTACGATCTGGAAACATCAACTGTGGACTTTCCTCGTCTTCTTCAATTGTCGTAGTGTAGAAAACTCAGTAAAACTGAAATATAACTTCAAAAACAAAAGTTTATATGTATGATATTGATTATGGAAGGTGCTTTGAGCCAAAAATTTCACACAGAGTTCACAAAAATAGCTCTTCCACACTAATATTTGGTTTTCAGTAAAGCTAACGCTAACAAACAAACAGGAACAGCTGTAAGTTATGTTGACTCTGAGGTAGCTAAATGCTAAAACAAGTACACGACAGCAAGCTAACAGTGTGTTAGCATTCAATGTAACGCTAACAATAAGCAACAAAAGAGGACTGATGAGAATGTTTTTGATTAAAAATAAAACTAGCATATGGCAGCGTGCTAACATATGCTAGTTTGTTAGCATATGTTAACTAACAAACTAGCTAACATACGCTAGCTAGTTTGTATGTTAGGTACAAACATACAAGATGTGCTAAGATGTGCTAGCACTAAGATGCTAGCAAGAAGCAGTACAAACTGTGACTGATGGGAATGTTATTTGATATGTTGGAAGTAGCATATGACACTAGTAGCAAAATGCTAACAATAAGCAATATAAGCTGATTGGAAAGCTTTTAGGTTTTATTTTATTTTACCAATTTTCATTAACTCACTGACAAAAAAATCATTACACGCAAAATCTCAAATACGTATTTCCAAATATACTTTTTCAGATAAAAACCAAAACTGAGCTTAAACGTCAATATTTGAATATTTATAAACAGAATTGAAGTTTTACAATTTTTTGCATCACTGTTGCATTAAGACAGAGTCACAAAAATAACATTTAACGATGGCCTTTCCTGGTTTCCAGCGTTAGCAGCCAATTCATTCTCATTGTAAAAGGAAATATTGCTTATCTCCATCTGTGAACCAGAGCTTTAAAGCGTTACGACGATGCAGTGAGTCTGGGATGGACGAATCCTTCCCCGTCCTCTGACTCACTGTCAAGGCCTATCGCCACCCGGAGGACACGTTGTGGACATTTAATCATCGGTTAGTAATACGGCCATCTCAGTGCTCTGCCTCTGGGGCACATTAGCAATTCGATGGCAAGTATTAATCACAGTCAATTACAGAATATGTCATCATCAACAGGGAGAAGCAGTTACTTTTACCAGCAGAAATTAATCATAGGTTGATATAAAATATCTGAAAGAAGGTCACAGATAACCATCTGTGCTTAATGGATATTTGATCTGCCAGGATGTAGCACACATAAAGAGTTTTAGGCTAGCTAAATCAGAGGCTAATGGCTTATTAGTTGTAGTTTCCCAAGCTGATTTAAGGAATTTGATAAGCAAAAGATGAAGTAAAGATGTTATTTGCAGCCGCAGAAGCTCCAAGAGTGGCTGAGTCACAAGAAAAATCCCTGATCCATCCTCTAATTTGTCTTCTTGTGCTCTGAGATAATAGAAACATGATGCATTGTTTGTATTGATAAAAAAAAAAGTCCATGAAGGAAAGGCAACATGGCATTAACTCCAACGAGAGGACCGAAAACAAAGAACTGCGAGAACAAATAAACCGTCTTCCTGCGGAAGCAGCACGATGATTCACTGGGGTTAATACGCCAGCCGTCAGAGCAGCACTTGATGCTCAACTCAAAATAAATACCAAACTGGCCTAAACAGAACGTGATAAAAGGGCAAAAACAACAGAGGAGGTTGATGCAGAAGCTTTGTTGGAGCTGGTTGTCACAAAACCTTCAGGTCTGTTTGGGGAAATACAAATCTCCATGTATTTTATTGGGATTTTTATTTGAACAGACCAGCATAAAGAAACAAACAATTGCAAAATAGAAGTAGACCTGTCAAAATAAATAACTAAATAGCATAATAAATTTAAGCAAACTCAGTAATATCCATTTTAATAATCTATTGTCTTTCTCTTTGTCCACCAAAAACTTGTTGACAAAAGTCTTGATTCTGGTGCTTTTCTCTAAAAGACAGTTATAACTCATTTTATTTGCTATTTCTGTTAATTTCTTCTGGGTCTTTAAAATGTCTTCCAGTTCCAGTGTTAAATGTTCATGAGAATTTAAAGTTTATTTATCTTTAAGAATTTGTTCTTGCAAGATTATTATGCAATTTATTACTTGAAGATGGTCTCAAACAACAATATTAACAACAATATTATCGTTTATCGCAATGACTTCTGTGGACAACGTGTCATTCAGCAAAAATTATTTATGGTTTTCACTTTGTAGGAACAGATTTGGATTCTGAAACTCTTTGGTTTCTAGATACTTTTTGCTTTTTTAACTGAAGTTTTTGACGATTCCTCTGCGTTAATCTTTAAGCAGAAGTTCAGAAGCCATTTCATTGTAGTTCTGGTGTCCCGTGTCATAACGCTTCTCATTTTGGCACTGATAAAAATACTTAAAGGTCTTATATATTTTGTCATTACTTCATCTCCTCAGCTCTCTAAAGCCGGCCTGCCAGTTTCCAATCTAAAAAATGGACCAGAATGACAATAATCAATGATTCTCTTTGGTTTAGATTTGATCCAAAAACAAGAATGACTCCAAAAATAACAGCAGGTTATCTGGAGCTCTTGCAAAGAACACTTGAAGTCAGCACCATCTGTTTAATCACAATGGGAAACAGCAGAGTAATTAAACATTTCGCTTTGAATCGTGAATCATCAGCATGTTTTCTACCACATATGTGTTCAGCAAG